CCGGGCCCGCCGAGACCGGGGAGTCTGGGTCCTCCGGAGGACCCGGCCTGTCGTTTTGGACACAGCCTGTGACACACTTTAGAAAAGGGGAGGGGCTTGTGTTGCCTCAGAAAAAGGGGCGTGGCTTGTGGAATTACAATTAAAAGGAATGCAGACCAAAGCATTGCAAGTCTGCCTTGTCTAAATGTAAAGAGACAGCCTCAAAATGAGCTGATCTGAGACACAGCTCAGAAAAGGGGCAGGGCTTGTGGAGTTACAATAAGGAGGAATTCAGACCAGTGCAATGTAGTTCTACTTTATGTAGACCCCAGCTGAAGGATTTAAAAGCATCATGTCTCCTTTCAGGAAAATAAAAGCTCTCTGGTTGTGAAGTAAAAACATCTTTTAAAGAAAAAACAGCCCCAAAMTGAAAATATAAAGATTAATCATCACCTAACTTAGTGATGAAATGAGCTGCTWACAAACCTGCTTCATAAGGTTCTCCCTCACTGGCCAGCTAGCCGTTAGCTTAGCCTGGATGAAGAGTTCTGATTGACAGCTCCTTCAGTAAGAATCATGACTGGTTCATGGTGTGTCCGGSTCTAATGTCAGGTTCTGGTTCTGKTTTCAGGACTGGATACGAGCAGGACGTCGAGTCTGGAGACACTGCTCACCTGGGAGACTGTCAAGGTACGACTTGTGTCCCGCGTCATGCCATCAGTCCTGCAACACGTACACACACAGTTCTCCTCACACGCACACACACTGAACACAAACACGAGCTCGTCATGCATACACCATGGTCCTGAAGCCCCAGCACCAGTAACATGTTATTAACATACATACATACGGTTCATGGCCACCTGTAACTGACATGTGCAGGTACRCGTCATGTTCAGCCCCTGCACACGAGCAGAAACTGAGCTTTTCTTGTTCCCACTGGTTTATTGTTCCTTCATGTGTAAGAGCTGAACATGAGCTGAACTTTAGTATCGATCAGAACCAGAGGACTTCCTGTTAGACCAAACCAGCTGCACTCAGAGTCTCAGACTTTCATTTAATTTGATTCTTTTACCTCTGAATCCCCTTATAATGATTTCTTGTCCTTTGAATTTTTTTAGCGTTTTTGGGCACTACTTCAGCGCCAGGTTACAAATCATTTGGCGACCCTACCTCTGGTTAGTTTGATCTTTTACTCCAATGGTTTCTTTCCTTGAGTTCAGCATTTCCTGCCCTTTCTTTTTCACCGTTCACCGCTGCTCTTCATCTCCTGCACTCCAACAGCTGTGGAATGCTAACAGCTCATTGCTCATCACCATAAAGAGCAGGAGCACCAGTCTGTGTTTCCACTGCTGTCCTGATCATCCTCGTGCATGCTCAACATTCATCTCTCATCACAGATGTTGTGCTCCAACCTTTTCTCAGAACCTCTTGGTTCTCTTTTCTCCCTCTCTAAAATAAAAAAAAACAAACTTTTACTGTAACAGACCTTTTTCACAATAGAAATTGACTGCGGTGGTTAAAACGTGCAGCTACAGGAGCTGTGAAATGATTAAATATATAAAAACATTCAGGTTTATTTTAAAAAAAGAAAAGACTGATCTTAATAAACTGATGACAGGAAYGGATGCTGGGATAAAAGTTTCATCAAAACGACCGGCTCGGCTGTGGGAAGCGTGCTCCTACTTTTAGCAGTGGTTCATGTCACCATTGCAACATAAATCACATAAAACTAATGTCAATAAAACTCATAGGAATACAATGAGATGAGCTGAGCTCCAAACTGACTTTAACTGCCACACTGTCTGAATTAGAAAGATTTCTTAGCAAACAACTTCTTACAGGCGCAATTTTCATGATCCACAAACAAATTATATATCAAAACGTAGACATTTTGTCTTCTTTCAGACAATATTTCTGATTTTTCTGTAGAATAAATGGTTTTAATTCAACTTGAGTCAGAAGTTAGGGAAGTACTACTTTTTGTCCTGTTTTCAATGTTCAATTTCTGTCATGATGCAGTTCAGAAGCAAAACAGCAACTATATTTAACTCATCGTATCTCTGAGATAAATATCTGTACAAATGTGAAACTTTCCTGAGCAAGAACCAATCTCTTCTGTCGCTCACAGGTCAAGAATTATTAAAATAGACCKTATAGTTTTCACACAGCGGCTGACTGAACTAAACTTTTCAGAGATTTGTCGTGCTGCAGATCCGTTCTGCCCCGCCCTGTAATGACATCACAATCAGGCCTTCTGATTGGCTGAGGCTGTTGCTGGGCAGAGTAGCCTCTTGAGTGACAGAACAACAAGGGGCTTTATGTAACCCAACATGGCTCCCAGATTGTTCAACTGTCTTAAGACATACAAAGCTGAAATTTGGTGGGGTGGTAGCTGAGAGCTAGCTCAACACATTCTGAATGCTAATCAGAAGGTTAAGCTAACTGCTAATGCTAATTTAAGAAAAACCTCTAATTCAGCCATTTTAAGACTTACAGAGCTGAAAACTGGTAAAGTAGGAGCCAAGAACAAGCTTTRACAAATTATGAATRAATAAAAATACAAGAYGGCCACCAGAGCTGACTTGAAACTGCAATAACYCRTTTTAAAACATTTTTAGCTAAAATTTRGTGTGGTGGTAGCTAAGAAGGGTCTCCATCACGTACTGAAGCAAAATCAAAAATCCAAGATGGCCRCCATGACTRAAATGCTAAATTGACCAAAACTTAGCCATTTTTAGATATATTTGGATCAAATTTAAGGTGGTAGATCACAGGGATCTCCAACAATCAGTAAATTAATATCTTTATTTAAACTATACGGCACATGGCAAGTCCTTTCAGTTTTTCCAGGGTCTGTTTAAGTGTTTACTATCAAACAACTCAGCGTGTCACTTCCTGAAAAGGACAAAGATCGGTTCAAACTGGACTTTAAATTCATTTAGAAATCACTCAGTGTTCAGCCAGTGCTCATGTTTTATAGTGTTTAAATAAAAGAATGACACGTTTGTGASAGGGTGAATTAAAGTCTTGGAGTCAGTCTGTTGTGTCAGAACCGAGCCTTTCAATGGATCAGGACTACGTGACAAACCCAGCTATAAGAGATTACACTGCGAGGATGGGAAATTATTTAATAATCCAATAAATCACGTGGATTCCACCATAAAATAAAGAGTTCAAAGGGAAGCAGGGAAGTCATTAAATCCACTTTATTGGTTCTACTTTGGAAAAACTGAGTTTAATTCTGACGGGATTAACGAGCTAACGGTTAATCTGAGACTGAAACAAATGGTGGACAGTACTTTATTAAATGTTTCACCTCCATCAGCACTGCACGGTTCCTCCTGCAGGGAGCTACAGCTAGCTGCTGCCGTTAACCTGTTTCTGTGAAAAAGGTCTGTCATTTTGTCAAACTACACTTTTGGTCCTTTTCTTACTCAACATTCTGCTCATTCCTGCTGACTCAGACTCACCTGCACAGGTTGTTAATGGTTTGTTTGTCACCACAGACATGGAGTTTCCATCAACACCAGTCACTGTCCAGCCCAGTGAGCCCATACACCCCCCTGTACCCTTACCCAGTCAGACCCCCAGCCCTGAGCCCGCTCCGGAGCTCTACGGCTCGGGCTTTGCTCTGCAGGATGACCCGGCTACCTCCCACTCTTTAGACTCTATGCCGGGGGGGCGAGAGGGTAAGAGGAGGCGGCCAGATGCTGCCTGAGCTGATGTGATAGCTGCTAGAGAGCTGAACTGTCCCTTTAGGAGGGTCCTGCACGTAGAGGACCACTTCATCCTCATCTGCTGCTGGATGTCCTGTCTCTGCTTTTCTTTTAACTCATGTCCTCTTATCAGGCGCTAAACCTGGACTGATTTATTTCTTTAAAAGAGGTGTTTCTGTGAGGTAATCAGTAGTAGTCAATGTCTTACCTGCAGCAGACAACATTTCATTTTGGAGAATCAGGAAACAGTTCTCGTGGAGTCCAGCTAAGTGTTCACCGGTCTGATCCAACACTGATTTCTGCCACATAAAACAATTTTTCAATAATTAAACCTCTTTTTGTGAAAAATTATTGTATTTTATTTACATTATTTTACTGAATATTTACTGAGAAGACTGTTAGTGCTGGAACATGTCCAGCTTTTCTAACTACTCGATGTAAAGTCAAACTTATTTTCATGCATGAAGCAACAAAAAATCCTTAAAGTACCTGTGACATGCGTATGCTTCAAATACAAAAAGTCAAAGAAAACATCTTTATATTTAAAAAAAGTTGGAATAATACACACGATTTAACCCATTTTGTCTCATAACTGGCACATTGTTTGTTGAACTTGGCTCAGCCAAAGTAAAACAGGAAGTGACATCAAAGGGGAACTCTTTAACAAAAAAATCTCTGGTCTTTGTTTATTGAAACAATATTATTTAAACTCTTCTTCATCTCTGATAGAGACTCAAAATAATCTAAAGAAACCAGATTTTTCTCTATAGTCTGTGTTGTTGGCTGTTGTAGCAACGCTCTGTTTACATGCTGACATTCTCCTGTGACATCACTTCCTGTTTCTTCACAGGCAAATATCTCAACAACTGTTCATCTCAGCAACATGAAATTTATTTTGCAATATTTTATCAATGTCCTCTTTCTAAAAATGCATTCATATGTATTACAAAAATTTGACGTCACAGGCACTTTAAAACTTAAGAGAATAAACTCACATTCATACAGATGTACTGACAGAATCAGAAACAGTAGAAATACAAAATAAACAATAACTCAACAGAAACATTTAGAACTTTGGGAAATAAAGGATCAAATTAAAGCTGTTAGTTGAAATTAGCCTCAGTCTGATTAGCAATTAGCTCGACTCCACCAGACTCTGACAGCTCAACTGCAGGTAAGACATTCACAATTGATAACTACTCAACAGAACCTCATTTCCTTTCTTTAAAGAATTGTAAATATAGTCTTTTCTCTCATAGATTAGTTAACTGTTAGCCGTAGCAACAGTTTCCCGGCTGCTGGACCCTGACCGCCCCGTCACTGCTGTGGCTGCACGGTGGACCACTAACTCTTCTAACACCTGTGGTTACTAACAAACCTCCTGTAGAGCAGAAAGATCTCCAGAATCAGTGCAAACTGTGCTTCTCTGTCCCCGAACGATAATCTGTTGGTCTCCTCACTCAACCCTTTAAGGCTGAACTAACAGCTTCCTGTAGATAAGAGTGTCGGCTGATGTTCGCCGGTGTTTCGGCCACAAGCTGCTGGAATCTGAACGTAGCTTGTTAGCTTGATTTGTTTAGTAAAAAGCCTGTTTCCAGTCAGACGTGCAGGTTTCTGCTGTGGGGGGGTTTAACCGATGCCTTGCTGTTTTGTAGGGATTTGGGATAACCACACAGGTGACAGCGACCAGATGGTCCACATGAACATCCTCATCACCTGCGTCTTCGCTGCCTTCCTCATGGGCGCCCTGCTAGCCGGGCTGATCGTGTTCTGCTACCGGGACTCCGTCCTCCGCAAGCCCAAACACGTCCACAAAGACGCAGAGTCCGCCCCGTCCTGTTCGGACTCCACTGGGAGTTTCATCAAGCTCAACGGCCTCTTTGACAGCCCCGTGAAGGTGCAGCCCCGATCTGAAGCCATGTAACTGTGCAACATGTCTAACTGAGTCTAACCTGCTTCTTCTCATGTTCTTCTCATGTTCTCAGGAGTACGAAGCCAACATTGATTCTCCCAAGCTGTACACCAACCTGCTGACCAACGGGAAGGATCTGAACACCCCCAATGTGGACATCAAGACCATGATCCTACGGGACAGCTGTCAGCCGCCCGAGCTGGCCGCTCTACCGACCCCAGAGTCCACCCCCGTCCTCCAGCAGAAAGGCCTCCAGCCCATCAAGAACCAGTGGGACAAGGCCCACAGCAAGCTCAGCGGGTCCAGGAAGGAGTCCAACTCCTCAGCCAAGAGTCCACAGTTCCTGCCCTCGTCCCCTTCTCCCGTCAACGCCCACCACCCTCACCCCTCCCTGGGACACTCCAACATTCCCAGTGCGGTGGTCCTGCCCAACGCCACTCACAGCCAGCCCGAGCTGGACGACGGAGACGAGACTCTGCCACGTTCCTCTGACAAGAAGATGAAGAACGCCGACCCTAAAGTGGGTAAGAAGGATCAGAGGAGAGCGGTGGACGCTCGGAACACGCTGAACGACCTGTTAAAGCATCTCAACGACTCCAACCCCAAGGCCATTCTTCAGGACGGGTCGGGACCCCGCCCCAGACCACAGCTGACACTGGAGCCCATGGAGGAACTGACCGAGATCCCCCCCAAAGTACCCAGCCGTGAGGCTTCGCTCTACTCTCCCTCCTCCTCTCTGCCGAGGCACAGCCCCACCAAACGGGTCGACGTGCCCTTGCCTTCCACCCCCACCACCCCAACGGGGAGCCTGAGCATGGGGGGCACCCTGGAGAGGCAACGAGGGGCTTACCAGCTCCACCGGAGTGCCTCCCACAGGCAGTCTTTATCCACCTCAACAAGCGGGGTAACTATGGGGGTGTCCCGCCAACACAGTATGAACAGAGGCGGCTACATGCCCCCCACGCCCCCCTCCAGACTGGACTCTCACGGTGGGGCGGTGGTGRCGTCGGGGATGCCCTCGCCTCACCAGCCCTCTGTGTCCCGACAGAGCAGCTACAGTGGCCACGGGTCGCTCCCTCGCACGGGGCTCAAACGGACTCCATCTTTAAAGCCGGACGTACCCCCCAAGCCCAACGGGTTTCCCCCACAGACTCCACAGATGCGAGTGGTCAACAAGTACAGCTACTGAACCAGCATGGACTCGAAACGTCGAGCTCTGAGGGGCTCGGGGGGTGTGGGTGAAATCAGGCCTGTTATGTGATTCTGTTGTGGAACAACGTGCACACTCTCTGAAACAACGTGCACACTCTCTGAAACAACGTGCACACTCTCTGAAACAACGTGCACACTCTCTGAAAGGGAAAACTACACAGTTGGCCAAAGATACTCACTGGAGCTCCCTGGACCCCGCCTCCTTCCTGTACCCTGCAGCCACAGATAAGAAGAGTGGACTGCGGTGAATCGGGCCCCGGGTGGTGCCTGTTCCCAGGGAAGGTGCTGCAGGGGGGGCCGCTGAGTGTACGGGGCACCAGGGCATACATGGTTGAATACTTGAACAGTGGTGAAACCTTACTGCCCTCGAGTACTGTCTTCCCTCTAATGTGAAATTAACAGAGCAGAGGTGGGCTCTGATAGGAGGAAGGAAGTCATCACTTTAAATGATGACAAACAGCTGAACTGAGCAGGAAACAAATAAACAAATCAAAAGTTTGGAGTGTGTTGGGGGGACAGGACCCTCTCTCATGTAAAGGCTGCACATGTTTGGTCTGGGGGGGGTGGCACCTGCCAGAGGAAGCACCTCCACCTGAAGACCTGAGTCACTGTTTTAACGCTGCAGCCTGAGTGCTGTGTGTCGAGCTGTAACCTGTTAAAGGATCCAGGACTAGTTATAACATTAGACTTTATTACATAAACATATATTTTACTGTAAAGACTGTAAAAATACTGTAGGCTGTTTAGTTTTGTAAATTTTTTAAAATACATTTTAACACAGATGGAGCCATTTTATTTCCACACAAAGCATTCTGGGTAAATGATGACGTGGATAGGTCCTCGGTGCGAGGCTGCTAGCGAGCTATATCCACCCTGAAGGTTAATCTTGGACAATATCTGATGATCGACTCTTTTAAATGAAACCAGAGAGCGTTGACAGAGAGGAGAAGGTAGAAATGACTCAGCCTGGAACTGAAAATATGGATGGAGGACAACAGAGCTGCTTCATGGAAGAACAACCTCAGATTAGCCTGTTAGCTTTAGCGTTAGCCCCAATGCTATATGTATTAGCTCAGTTCCAGGCTGAGTCATTTCTACCTTCTCCTCTCTGTCAACGCTCTCTGGTTTCATTTAAAAGAGTCGATCATCAGATATTGTCCAAGATTAACCTTCAGGGTGGATATAGCTCGCTAGCAGCCTCGCACCGAGGACCTATCCACGTCATCATTTACCCAGAATGCTTTGTGTGGAAATAAAATGGCTCCGTCTGTGTTAAAATATATTTTTAAAAATTATAAAAACTAAACAGCCTTCAGTATTTTTACAGTCTTTATTTTACAGTTAAAATAAATGTTTATCAAATAATGTCTAATTTTACAAGTAATCGTGGATCCGTTTAAAGCTGTGGACTCACTGGTTCTACTGGGTCTCACAGAAACAGGAACTCTGTAACTGACTGGGAAATTTAACTTGATATTTGCTGCTACTGGTTTCTGTGTTTGCTGAACGGTGTGTTTGGACCACAGGTGGACCGCCTGAGTTCTGAGTGAGGACTTCTGTTTGTTTTTACTCTAAAGGGCATAAATTGATTAAATGGAGCAACCAAACTAATAAAACTGAGACGTCAGAGAAAACATTTCTCTGCAGGAATGAAACAAACCCAAACCTCCGTTGTTCTTTAGTAGAATTACACTGGTGGTCCTCATAAGTCTGTATGTAGCTGTGCTTTAAACACAACAATTTCATCTCATTTTAAACTTAATTTAATCTTTTTTACCTTTTAAAAGAACTTATTAATGTGAAATTAACACTAAACCAGTACTTTAGACCAACATTAGATCTACATTTCTGCACTCCTGTTAAATCTGCTTCCTRAAGGTGGTGACATCTCACTGGTTTGTGACGGTTGGTGATGCTAAATTAATTGGGTTTTAATAAAGTCTTAATGTTTGTGGTCCACTGAGCAGTGGGCGTGGCCTGTTTGTGAAAATCACGGCTTGTAAAGCTGTACTTTTGGCCGTGCACATTATTYATTTGCCCACATTATGGTTAGACAGGAGTGAAGAGTTTTTACTGTCGTCAGAGTGGACGCTGCAGGCTGTCCATGTTTCCTCTCAGAGCTAGGGTTGGTGATATTGGCAAAAAAAAATGTAATCCTGATTAACTGTAGTATTTAGCTGATAACGATTAATACGATTATTAATCACCTGGAGTCCCCTGCATGTCATCGTCACATGACCAGTTTAAACGACTCTGTGGGAAAGATTTGATCTCTGTAAAACTCTGTTCCAAATTGTGCAAAAAGTACRAACTTCAGGCTTTACATCAGTTTTTAAACTGTTGATAGACCAAGTAAAACCAGAGTTATGATGAAKWAATGACAGAACTTTTTAAATGTTTGTCATATCTGAAGCACCGAGCTGACAGACCTGACTCCAGTCYGCTGGTGTCGATCGTATTCATCGTCAAAAAAAAAACAATAATTTTCTGATGATTAATTGCAAACGACACAATTTTTGCCACAGACGGGTTGGAGACGCCCAGAGAGAAAATTTGTTGCACAARTGATTGAAAACTCAAGCAACTCGAAGAAACCTGTGATAAAACCTGAGCACCAACGAGTCACAGTCCAGACAGAGCTCACCTGCAGTAAACAACAAGTTTTCTCCTCAAAGCTGGACCAAACTAATGCTGGATGAACAACAGGAGGAGGTGTGGTCTGTCCCCCCTGCCCCTGAACAACCATCAACATTTCCTAAACACGCGTCATGCTGGGAATGACCAGGTCCTGTAAATACTACAAGGAGCAGAAATGTTTTAGGAGAGAGAACCTGAATCTGTGCAATGTGTGCCTTACTCATGAACAAACTGTACTCCTGGCCACGGCTCGTTTGTCACGAGTCGAGTGTTTTTATAGCAGATGTCTGAAACAGAGAATCACTACCTAAACTTTAGAGTCCAGCTGTCCGTCAGACGGAAACTAAAACTGTGATTCTGTTTTTATATTCGTAAAGAGACGACAGCCTCTCTCCTCCTCTGTGCTCTGCAGCTGATGTGACGCTTGATAAAACATGAAATATTAATATTTATGTGACAGAAGTTCACCTCAAACACCACCAGACTGTCTCCTGTCATCAGGATCACAGCAGGGACGCCACAGAAACCTTCAGCTGGGGAACAGTTKGGAGAWCTTCCAAAGTTCTGAGTTCTGGGAATGAACTGGAGTCATTTAAACAAAGGTTTGGTTTTATCTAAAGCAGATCCTGTTTGACCCAAAGCTTCATGAAAATAACTTTAATTACCTGTAACTGTGTCACATTTCTGAATTATCCTTTTTGTTTTATAAACACATGCATACGACTCTGAACAGAACTGTCCCCATATGTCCCACCTGGTCCCCATATGTCCCACCTGGTCCCCATATGTCCCACCTGGTCCCCATATGTCCCACCTGGTACCCACATGTCCCACCTGGTCCCCATATGTCCCACCTGGTCCTGCATGTCCAGGTGTATCAGCTCTGAGCACGCTCAGTGAAGAACCAACCTTTAAATTCCAGGTTCATTTCCAGTTATTCTCATGGAAACTAGCTGTGCCACCTACATGATGTTCTGGAGCAGGGTGGTGGTGAACAGTGAATGTAACCCTGACCTGTGGGATGTGGGGGGGTCGGATCACTGTGAGGAAGACAGCAGGACTTCCTGCTCACAGCCAACGTTTTAACAGTTTTCACAGGAAATCTGTCTGTTGGTGCGAGCAGCGGCGGCAGCGGCGGCGGCGGCGGCGGCGGCAGCGGCGGCGGCGGCGGAGCAGGGTCTGTAATTTCCAGGATTCCAGCGACAGGACTTGTTTTGATTGGCCAGACTGGGGGTCATTTCTCTGGTAGCAGCTGGGCACAGGATTCGGGTTTAGCCCAAAGCCACATTTTGTTTACATGATGATTGTATGTAAAGACGTCTGCTGTCAGCTAACAGTGTTGTACGTTGCATTATGACCTGATTTTTAATCCAAACTCAAGCTTTTATATTTCAGAACCTTTTGTTTTTGTCTCGTAGYGTTGATTTAAATACTGTGCAACCCGGATGTATATCAGAGTATTTGAGCGTGTACATACGTTGTAAAGTTGTACTGTGAATGTGTAAATATTTCAGTTTTTTGTTCTTTCATTTTTTTAGTTGGTTTTTGTAACACGGCATGTATAGTTGAAATTAAACATTACTGCACAGAAAGTGTGTTTTTGGGTTGATTCTGTTTAAAGATGTTGAAGCTTGTTGGAGCAGCTTAGCATGAATTAGCATGGCTCGGCTACGAGGCGTTAGCATGTTCAATCTGAGGATTTGGGCCTTCAGACGTGTGCAGGAGCCATGAGAAGCTTTAGCTGGTTTTTACGGCCGTGTCCCGGCTGATCCAACATCACAGACTGAATGATTAACACTATTTTTAGATCCGGGTTGTTTTGATGTTTGAGGCAAACGCAGAGTCACCAGAACCACAGAGCATGTGGGAAACCTTCCAGAGTAACATGTTCCTCTGCTCGCCAAACATCTGGACTAACAACTGCTTTGGGCATCAGATCTAAACCTAAATGAGGCTGCAGCACACAGACACACACACACACACACACACACACACACACACACTTCATTACATGTCTCCTGCCTGCACCATCCAGAGCTCAGATATGAACTCTGATCAAACACGTTGGAACAAATAACGAGTGATGGTTTGATAAAGAGACGATCACACTTCAAAGTGACCAAATCATCTTCWTTAGTTTTTCAGATCTGATGAGCTGACACATTTCCAAACACAAAACTCCAGTTTCTGCACACACCTGGTCATTAACACCTGGATGAAGCTGTTCAAAGTTACACATGGCTGCAGAGAAAAAAAACGTTTTTATAYCAATTGATGATTTGGAACTTGCAGCGTTTCCAACTGTGTATGTGTTATATGTTTTATTTATATATACAGTGGTTTGCAAAAGTATTCATACCCCTTGAAC